CGAATTTGCATTTTGAATTTGAATACCTATGCCATTTGGGTATGACGGACATGTTTTATGCCGTAAGCATATGTCAAGGATAAATGCTTCAGTTAATAGATAAATCGCACATGTTGTTCAACTATTCACGTGTAAGCCATTGTGGTAGTATTTACGCATTCCACGATAGCATGCTATCAGCAAGTATCATACAATGAATGCTGATCATTTGAAATCAAATAACCAACAAGTGCTGCGTGTACTCGCTCCGACAAATGTCCTTCTTATAATGCAAGCCCATATACCATGACGACACGAATATCTTTTTCAAACTAGTGTGGTGACTGTCATCTAAGTTTTCAAACTTAAACTCCCTATACCCGATAATGAACGGGATATGTTTACTTCCTTGTCACTGGGGACTTGCAGAACATGTTATGTTCGTTAGATATAGAAAGAGATTTAGAGTTTCAGTGCTAACGAACGATCGGGCAGACTAACGGACGAAAACCCATTTTGCCTCTTACAAACGATATCAAGGCTATGTAAATTATGTTTTACTACACGAAATCACGCTTGATCTATAAGCTCTATATACAATACAATTAAGATGGCAAACAGGGATGTCTTTGTCTGCTAGTGCATGACGAGATTCATTCCTGTTTCTGAATACTCTCAAACAGAAGTTTGTGGATTTTGAGGCCGAGACACATCATGCACCTGTTTAATCTTCTCTACACGCAAACATGTGCAATTTCTCACCTTCACGCCAACGCCCAGGTAGAGGTGCACACAGATAACTTGAGCGAATGTGAGGGGTCTGTGTTGAGGCAGCTTGTCCTATCAGGATGTATGATATTACCTTAAAATGGGGAGCGCTTATATATAGGCACCTGAAGAACCGGTTTGTTATTGTAATGGGATTTTATGTGATATGAAGGGTTGGCTGGAGGGTTGGCGGGTGCACATTCCACAACAAGTGAAGTGTGGAAACAATAAAAACACCGTTGCTGTTTCCTCAAAGTGACTGCCTCTTCAGCCTTCAGCCTTCAGCCAAATAGTCACTCGTGTATGACGGTTATATACACATGGGAAAAAGTATCGCAACACCTATGATTATTAACCCCCATATAGCCAGTTATAATCATATCATAATTACGTTTGTTTGTATAACTATTTTGACCATTCGGGAAACAGATGGAGTATTGACACAAAAAAGGGATTGGATTAACAGTCGTTCTTTTCTCAACGCGAATGCCTCTTCAGCCTTCTGCAACATCGGATTCATTATTCATATGGGAACCAATATACACTCGAACCGAGCAGGGCCAAAATAACAAAACAGGATGTGATAGTGGAGAAGAGACAAGACTGGAATATATACAACTGGTGAAATTATGACTGGTACGAGGGATGGATAAAAACATTTTCTCACTTCCACTAGGTTATGTATGTCATTTACAATATTAAATGCAGCTCTTTCGATGATCCTTGGCTACATTTGAACCAAGTATTCTTTGATTGAATGGACAAATTGTTTGTATGTTGTCATAAGTATATCTCCAACAGCTTGGACATATTGTCTACTTTAGGCGCTGATCCATCTTCTGATACTTTTGAGTGATTCGCAAGAATAGATGGCTCTTGAGATTAGTACTATCTGACAGTGACTAACCAACAGTCAGTGTTTTTGAACATCCCGGATGACATCCCAATTGTAGAAAGTGACCACAAACCACACGAGTCAATGCCGAAGAAACCAGAAGGTCAGAGTTCAGAGCGTATGCAGCAAGGGCGAGGCTGTCATTTGGCTATTTCTTAACACCTTCTGCAATGCTTTTAATGCTTTCATGTAACACAAATCATTGATCCCAAACGTTCATGTGGTAAACACAAGAAGGACGAGAAGCACTAGGAATATATTGTAGACAAATCTCTCTCGCATCCCCCTAACTCCCCCCTCTCGCTCTCTCTAGCTCTCTCCCTCGCCCCTCTCTCCCTCTCCTCTCTCTCTTTCCCTCCTCCCTCTCGCTTGCATGAGCTCTTTGAAAACAGAAGACACTTCTGTTATGGCCAAAATTATGTGTTGGAATTATGTTTATGTCAAAACTTTTAATTTTTGTGCGAAACTAAATTGGTCTACATTTTGGGACAGTTAGCTCCCGCAAGGAGTCCAAGGGATGTAATTCTATCAGTTGACACAGGGCTAGAGATGTGAGCACATGGTCAGCTCGACTCAATGGTGTTAGATGTGGATTTGGATTTGGAGTGATGGCTCTATATGTTTAAGGATTTGATGACCTGCATCATCATATATACTGAGTCAAAAAGAAAACTTCACATTCTTTCTTCAGGGCACCATAAAAGAACAAGAGATGGTAAGATGGTTGAATTGTTATTATTTCATTGCTGAGATCTGTGTGATGTACTCGATACACTGACAGTGCCATAATCAGTTCCATAAGGCTACACCGCCGTTCCAAAACATGGGTATACAGAATATCAAGTCACAAGAATAAAATGCGAAACTTCTCTGTTCAATATCGTGTATGGCCGCCCCGCTCATTCACCACTGCCAAACACCGTCTCCTCATCGACTGCCTGATGCTTGTGAACACGTGGTTGGGGATCCTGCGCCATTGCTCTTGCAAGGCAGCGCCAAGTTCCTGCAAATGCTGAGGGTTGGTTCCTAAGACCACGAAGCCTTCTCCCAAGTGCATCCCAAACGTGCTCTATTGGATTAAGGTCAGGGGACCTCGATGGCCAGTCCATGACGTTGATTCCAGCGTTTTGAAGGAAATTTCGTGTCAACATCGCGGTATGCGGCCGAGCATTATCATGCTGGAACTGTAGACCTGGGCCATGAGCCGCCATGAAAGGAACGAGTACAGGGGTGAGCACCTGGTCGCGGTAAGCAGCAGCTGTGAGGTTTCCACGGATGACCAGAAGTCGGGAACGGTTGTTCCCACAGAAAGCACCCACACCATGCAACTTCCGCCCCCAGAATATGTCGACTTCCTGTACACAACATTGGGCATACCGTTCACGACGTCGTCTCCAGACTCTATGCCTGCCGTCCGCGAATCTGAGGGTAAACCTGGATTCATCGCTAAAGACGACTCGATTCCAGTCTCTCTGGGTCCATCGGAGGTGACGTTGGGCCCACAACAGACGTTGACGTTGATGAAACGGCGTCAATATTGGCCCACGATATGGACGTCGAGAATGGAGATTGGCAGCCCGCAACCGATTTCGAATGGTCTGTGAGGACAGTCGACCTCTTAACATCTCAGCCCTGGTTCGTGTAGCCGGCAGAAATCTGTCACGTAGGTGACGTAGGACGATTTTGACGGTCTTCTGCTCGTGACGTCACACGTGGACGACCCGACCTTGGGCGATCAGAAGTGGTGCCAGTATGTTGTAGACGACCTCGCAAGTCATACACAGTACGACGGCTGCATCCATTGCTCTTGCGACGTCAATAACTGATCTTCCCGCTTGCAACATGCCAAAGGCACGTTCACGTTGCACATTTGACCATCGTGGCATTTCAAGTACCGTTAGAACAGTGGTTTAAAAGTGTTTTCAATTCTTGGGGCCAATGCAAACACGTGCATATGAAGAAAACTTCGATGCGAAGATCACGTGATCGACTGCACGTGCAAAACCTGATTTGGCACTAACGTCATTTGCACGACGAATGGATGGGTTTGAGTGGGTTTTGCTAACGTTTTCTAGAGTCGAAAGATAGGGATCCCATTTCGGATACATAGATGTATCATCAGAGAAAAATTATTCATTATTTTTTCAAATTACATTTATAAAGTTTCTTTTTGACTCAGTATATATTAATGTCGATCATTCAAGGACTGATGAAGAATAAGAGTCAAGTCAACTGTATTGAAGGTATTGGCATTTTTGTTGAAGAAGTGCATGACATGTGACTTTGAAGTAAGTTGAATGGAATTTGAACTGAGTATAGACTTGTTAAGAACTGAGCAAAGGATTTGGAAACTACAACTTCCTTGATTGTATTGGTGATTACGGTTGTCGTAGAGACTGAGATTTGATAGTACAGTTGCTGTACACAGGTAGATATCTCTCTTTTTTCAGGATATTTGGAATCCAGTACTGAAGACGCATGGTCATGCCGCCTTAGGAGTCGTAGCAAAAGTAGACATTACTGATGTATTGTTTTGTCGGGTTTCATCATCGGTTGGATACTGGCCTTACATGTTGAAGTATTTTGTATATATCACTCATACCAGGCTCTTTGATCAAACAGTATTAATGAAGTGATACCTATATGCATTTATGATGTCCGATCTGTGATGCAGAATCCTGTCGATACTTTCTGGTGTGTCGCCCCAACAGGAACCAGTTAACAGTGCATTCGATTCCATGGATGACTGATTAAGTTCGACACGTTTTTATACAAGGTTTTAAATGTTTTAGGTGTAGGGTCAGATTGGAATTCAGGATCAGTTATGAAAATGGGACAAAATATTGCCATTTATTGTGCCAAATGAACAAGTACCGCACTGAGGGATTTTGTTCTTCAGTCTTGTTGAATTTGTTCAATGATATTTTTCTGACTGAAACATTTTCTGATGTAATAGAAGTTGGGTTGAAATCATGAGGATAAGGATTAACCGAGGGCAGCAGTCGGAACCACATGTTGTAACATTCAGGAAACAAGGTCATTATTTATTTGAATTCGACATAGTTTGAAATGTGACAAGTGTGTTCCTGAGTTATGGTGATGAGATTCCGAGATTTAATAGCTGTCACCTTATACTAACAGACAACAAGGAATAATATGACGGCAAATGTTTATTTGGTTTCAACTATGTCCATTCGTTTTTTGTGATGACCAATGTACAAAGGTTCGGAGTTTAAGTTTAAAGGCAAGTTTACATAAAAACCTTTCAGTTATGCTACTTTTCATCATATTAAGCGTTTGTCAAGAAGTTTTATGTTCAAAACAGTACAGATATCAGAAGTAACTATCTTAATTTTTGTGCGTTATATCGATTCATACTTTGTACATTTACCGAAGTCTTATTTCCATTAAAACCACCATGACTCATGTCTAAGGTCACCTGATCAGTCAGATCGCATGATCTGCCAGGTCACATGATCAACAAGGTCACATGATTAGCCGGGTCATGTATAGATTCAATTCGCTTCTCGTAAAGTCGACTTTTTACGACACGCTTTTGAAGCAGGGGACTCTACATGCATGTGTTTTGGAGGCTTGACACTTTGAACATTGGCACGGTATCCACGTTTTTCAGGAAACAGGTATGCCGAATCCTCTTCAGTGTATCCTTTGTCCTGTATTAAATACAAATCAAAGTATGAAATATTTTTTATCAAGTATCAATTATTCCCTACATTCATGCATGAAGGTAACATTGCATGATGCATATTCCTATTGGTTGCATGTGTCCCGCTCAATACTCCGAATATTCTATTCCATATACATGCATTTCAAAATGTTCTCAATCTTTGATTGTTGGAACCTACCCTTGAGTATAATATATCTTTAAGAAACAAAACAATTCTTGTTAAGAAAATATATACTTTGTAACAGAATCAGCTGTCTATTGTAATATCAACTGACTGCACAACAACCGCTTACCAGGCTATCAACATCTGAAACTGTCACTCTATGAGAACCACGTCTCCAATTGGCCTGGGCTCGAGAATGGTCTCTTCATAACTGACGGGGTTGAAGATGGGTGGGTTCAGGTTCCGGTTGATGGTGAGTTCAACAAGGGCAATGTCATACAGTTTGGGACTGCCATTGTCCCTCAGCTCGAACGTAAAATCTGTAATGGTTTACATACTTCATATATATAGGCCACCTTTGTTTTAGGAAACTGCGGAACATACATTTTTTCAAACAATAGCTCTCGCCATGTGAAAGTTTAAATATATATGCTTAAAACATGCAGGCATAATTTGCATGTCATTTGTAGGTGGTTTCTGACTGAAACACAGTTACCTGACAGAACAAACATAAGCTTCATTTACCCCAATACTGTATATACATGTCTGTATCATAAATTGTTACGATGTATATATGTGACAAATAGTCTGTTTTAAAATTTGGTGTTATGACTTTTCTATTTGTAAATAACACCGTAATGAAGAAATATGTATTATACGAAACTCCTTTAGACTGTGCAATTAAAGTATGTATGTACGCCTGAAACAATACCGATGCCACATAAAACATCAACTAAAATCAACTCAATATATATGACAATAACCCTTGCTCCTTAATAGTAGTCAAACTAACAAAACTAATGTACTGTAAAGCTCTTCTTTGTTGATGTAATGTACGTCAGAAGTTTCATCATATCGGTATATGATACTCAACTTATACTTTCCAATTCACTTGGATATTTGATGAGTCGACTCTTTGACTCGACCGTCATTACACGTACTTATACCACTAGGGGGCGTTATGGCCATGGTATCCGTGAGTTGTGGTATATCCTTGGCTCACATTTACGCTTACCTGTGGGATTTTATTGACTTACCTTATCAATGGATACTGTACCAGAAAAGGTATAATGCAATTAACTGAAGAAAACCCAATATGAACAAAATGATGGTGAGTGTCACGCCAAAGTAATGCCAGTATCTGTAAATTGAGAAAATGCTTGGATCAGTAATTAACGACAAAACAATGATCTGTGAAACAACTGTGTCCAAAGCTGTGTTTGTTAAAATCGCTGTGTATAAGTAAAGCAGAAAGCACCGAAGCCCTTGATTTGTTCAAGATCACCAGGTTTAGTTCAAAGCAGTGTCTAAGTAAAACATAAAAGCCACAAAGCCCTTGATTCATTCAGGATGACCAGGTTTAGTTTAAGGCGCTTGATGTAGTTTAAAGGAAGTATATAAGTAAAACAAAGATAAAACAAAGCTGCATCATCATGTGTAGTATTATGAACATGATTACCCTTCGAAATTTGATGTTGCACAAGAAAAATACCAACGATACATGTATAAAATAAACAAATAATAAGTATATCATCACAGACACACACATCCATCCAACTCATTCATTGACAGTTACCGGACCTGAAGCGGTGAGGGACATAATCGATTCAAAGTTGGACTGCACATAGTAAAGGTCGATCCCTTATATGAGAATATACAAACAACTAAAATCATGAATCATCATTAGAAAGTAACATTAAAGCGTCTATATAACAAAGTGTTCAGCTAGAATGCAAATATTCACAGGATATATTTTACAATTTTGTAGGAGTTGACACTTTCATCTTCATGGAAATCTGCCTTAGTCATATAAAACCCAATAGTAACACACCAGAAAGTATTACGCATTGAAGTATTTTGTAATAGTGACTATATAAATTACACTTTTGAACATTAAACCCGTATACCTTTGAGGCAAAATTACCCCAGTGCTCATATGATATACATCCAAGTGATGTAAAGTCTTACTGCTTCCACCCCAGTACGGTAGCAGAGGTTCCTGACAACAGAGGGATGCTCTTGGTGACATGGAGTTGGTATCGTTAAGGTGCCCGCAGCGTTGTATTTCTGTCCACGGTGATTTCAACATTGGCAGGCGGATTAGCCCTTTAGTCCACCTCCATCTACTGCATCAACAACAATCTGGAGAAATAAAGAACAAACATGAACATAACACTGCAACCTGTGCTTACGATCTACTTGCACATTAATTATTTTCAACTCCCATCAGCAAGCCGATGGGCAAGGTATGCGTCAGGTAAGCAATGGTGGTGGTTCCCTTACAGTAGAACATATGCAGAGGTCATACAACTCAGTACATGAATGTTATTTTATGCCGTTATATCAGCAGATATATTAACTAACTTACCATACCTGAATAGAACGATATGATATGGATCTATTTTCTCCCCGGGGAAAAGAATACATACATCTCTTACCTTAACTGATATTAGGAATTTGCGAACTGATATTTATTTCTCACACCGATGTTTCTTTTAGCTTTTCCTCTATGTTAAATGATTCAACTCACCGTGTATACTTCAGTGTAGCTTGTGTCTGATTCCAGAAAGCACCTGAGGCTGACTGCGCCAGTGTTCCGGTCCACCATGAAGTACAGCCGTCCAGGAACACTGGAGAGAAGGTTGTTGACCTCATACTGCACAGTGTTGTACGGGGCCTGGGAGCAGAAAGTGATTGAAATGTAAATGCCTTCTAGGTGTACATTTACATGTTGATGGAAGAAATTATAGCTATGATATCACATACTTGTACACACCCGTTGTGGGGGTATTAGGAGCTTCGTAAACACTCATCGAGCAGCAACAAAGTCAAGTTCACAAACTAGCAACAAAATAGGTACATAAGCATAAAATTAAATCAACACAACTAAACCGATTGTTTGTATAGAGACCAATCACAACTACTGGCGGTCATCAATGTTTTTTGACGTAAGCAAGATCAAGTGTGTTAGAATTACATTCTGACCCCATCCAACACAGGTGACAAAACCCTTTCCATACTCATAAATATAAGACGCCAGTTTATAATACTGGAGCCCAAACAGCTAATTGTATTCGACTCCAGCACAACTGACAAATGCTTCTGAGCTGATGATAAAACTCGGGCACTCAGGTCCACCAGTAGTGACCAAGGTTCTAGAAACCTTCTTTAACAAAAAGGCATCCTTGCCTTTTGAAACAGCGTGGTCGTCGGTATCTCATATTCGTCCCTCAGCGTGGATGACAGTTATATGAAATAAAATATGTGACAACGATGCTATATACCGGTACATGTCCGCGATATCAGAATAAAATTATGATCTTACCGCAACATCAGCATCAGCAGCATTAATAGTGAGGGATGGGTATGGAGAGCCTGTGTGGCCAAAATCCCAATACTGTAGTTTTGAGGCTGCAGTTGTGGTGCATTCAAATTCCTGTTTACAGTTACTAGCACTGTTGATGTGTCTGTGAGTCTTGGAGTTCCTCCATCCATGGCAACAACTCGAAGCTGATGTGAAGAAAAAATGACAATATTAGAGACACAGTCATCATACATATCCTGACAAGAGGTCATAAACATATGCATTATAACTACAACTGTTTAACTGCAATTCATGGGTTACTGATAACCGTAGAAGGGAACTCACCACATATTGTTCACTGTTATCAGAATTTAGGGTATTTTGAGTCCTGATGGCACCAGTGTCAGGCGTAACTGTAAAACAAGCTGGTTGCCAAACCATCACCAATCAGGAATAAGTAACCCGATTAAAGGATCCTGGAAGTAAAAATAGTCATTGTAAAATAAAATTCTATGTTTAAAAATCCAAACAAACAAATTCTGGCAAAAATTTAGATCGAATTAGAATCTGTTGAAATTCATGTCATCATAAAATCATTATTGCAAAGCTACATATGGACCCAAATGGTAGGGAATACATATTTGAGCACTAGAAAATGTCTAACATATTGTAAGAGGAATAATACTGAATACAATCAAACAGCTACAGGACACCTTCAAAGCAAGTGACTTGGAAAACTTCCAAGCAACATCAACAGAGTAGGACACTATGAAGTGACTTAAGTTTTATGATAATATGGGATCAAGGCCTTGCTGTGATGAACACTTTCCCTATGTGATTTTTTAAGAGCATTTAGGAAATGATCAACATGAGTCACAGAATTTTTTCTTATGGATATCACCTTTCTTTATTTGTTAAACACAACGCTTTGAAGGAGTAAGAATTAAGTCCAAAACGTCGCGTTGAACAAACAAAGAAGCTGATAACCATACATTTTCACTTTCCCCTCAGATGGCCCATGGTTTCTGTTAACTGAACTGCTTATACCTACCACAATGTCAGCATCTGTAGCCTGCACATTCATGACAGGGGAGTTTGCACGGGAGCAGTGAAGTCAATTCTTGCACTGTAGGGTTCACTCTGGAAGACAGGGGGTTCAGGTTGCGGATAATGTTGACACGCACACGTGCAGGTGGCACTGAAATTTGCACTGGTACACCTTGGTCAGTGGCTGTTACTGAGAACTGAAATCCAGAAATATAGCAAAGCTCAGTGAAACGACATACAAACAAAACATGAATGGTATTATCTATATATATCAGGACAATGATTGACAATTATTGATAATGGTTGGTCAGTATTTACCTCAACAAAAGAAGTGTCTGTCAGGTCCTGGGTAAGAGGCAAACGGGCAAAGATGTTGCCACTAGTTGTATCAATTCGGAAATACGTGCTGGCAAAGTTTCCAGACAAGTCTTGCAGCGAAAAGGTGAATGTACTCTGAGGGACCCTGAAAAACAAAATAAAGTGCATTTACCACACTGGTGGAATCCGCCTTCCAATTGTCAGTTACCATTCACCAATCAGGAGCTAATATACTGTCTGCTTTCACTGCTATGTTTCCAGCTTTCTTATCTCATTACTTTTGTTGTTTTTACAAGGTACATATATGCTGTCTGGATCCTAGCATTCATTCATCTGCTGAAAACACTGTGCTCCTCACACAATGAAGTGATATCCACAATTTCTTTCATATGTACACCACTGTTTAATATCAGCAAAACCCTGGAATTCACATGGTTTATTTTGTAACTTCTTTAGAGACCATTTAGTCAATTATAAAATGCAACAGGTTTTCTTTTGACTATTGGAAATATATGATGAATAAACCTCTTTAACTGATGTCAGAGGACTGTTAATATGAACCTACAGATCTGTCTGCATCTGTTGCTACAACACACTTAATAATACTGTCAC